CAGTATTTGCAACCCGAGTTACTAAGCTCGTAGGGGTGTCTCAACACCTGATGCCCTAAGACCAACTGGTCTGGGAGTCATTAGCCGAAAGCTCGTTACATGGGTTCAGGATACATTGTGCTATAAATTCTTGCTTTCAAAAAAAAAGAAAAAGAAAAAGATAACAATCCCAACCCAAGGAAGTTAACTTTAAACATTAGAACAAAAATTTTGTTTTCTTCCATGAAAAGCTCCATAGCTATGTTTTGATTTATTGAGCACCGAAAGAAGGTTTACTAATATCTTGTTTAAGAGGTATTAAGCAGATATATAAATTTAATGAGAGTTTGTTTATCTGGATAGATTAATAGAAGTTAAATGATGAATGCCTTGCTTTGTGGTATTTGCAAATTATTTTTCTATTTTAATGCTTTGATTACTAGGGACTAGTAATAAGCTGGTTGGGGGGTGTGATTAGTACTTAAAAGTGCATTCTCATTAAGGATTTATGTCATCATATTGCACCTAAAGTATCATTAAATTCCCTAACAAAAGCATGTTTTATATTAGCAAGTCTAAAAATATAATATACCTTTAATTCATGGTAAATGTTCATCCTAAATGCAGGTCTATCACATAAATAAAAGGATTGATTGATGAGTTTAAGGATTGAAATTGAAAGGATAAAAAGAAGGCCAAACTTAGCAAAGTGTTGCTGGTGCATTCCAAACTCGAACACCGTTCAGTAATTTGATCATATCTGGAGCTGTAGATATCAGATTTAGGTCCATTTTATATCGATGGAAAGGTAAGACATAGACCTACAACTTTCATATGAAGTCAAAGACTCAGTTCTGCCGTTTTCAAGCCCAAATCTTAGCAACAACGAAGACGTCGGAAGCTGTCCTGCAGCTCAAGCACTATTCGGTTTTTGGCTCATATCTTGAGTTCTAGAAGTCCAAATGAGCTCTGGTTTTTTTTTATGGAAAGCTGAGACAATTGCCCACAGATTCCACAATTCAGTTGGCTATAATTCTGATGTGAGCAATGACGTTTTGGCCAGCCAACAATATCAAAAATCAGCCCACAATATCAAAAAACCAGCAGCCATTAATGTCAAAAACCAGCCACCAAATCAATGGATGCCCACCAATTCTTCAATCAATCAATAGTTCTGAAACTTAGCCTATAAAAGGAGGCATTGTCCATGTATTTAGTCATATTAATTTTCAGATCAAAGTTATCTTCTTGCTTTCTCTCTACATCTTTGTAATGTTCAAGTTTTCTTTTATGCTATAGTAATCTCTTGTTTATGCTCTTTCATTTCCTTTCCTATACTTAGTTAGCTTATATTATGTTTATGTTCTTATATTGTTTATTTGTGTTTTTCTCCTTCTTAATGTTTAGCTAAGTTAATTATGTCAAGGTGAAAAGGTTTCTCTAATGGTGTTAGAATAGGTATAATATAAACTCAACATGAGCTTTAAATGTTTATATCCAAGAAAGATTGTTATTAACATGTTTTATCTTTTTATCTTACTAATTCTTAATACCTTGCTTATTAAATGTTTAATTTAGATTTGTGTTGTATAATATTTGGTACATCAAATGCTTGATCTTTCATAGTTTTCGGCCGAAATCGTTATTATGATAGAAACTTGATTTGTTGTTAACATAAACTAGCAACATGAATGCTTGATGATATTTATAAGTATGGTATTACTTATATAAGATAATTAATATGATCATGTTAGTAATTTATAATGAGCTAATAACGAGAAATCATCCGATTAGAACCTCCTTTGTGTGTGGTTTCTAGTTGAGTAATAAAAAGAGTTTATATTATATTTATTTGAAATACCATTAGTGAATCCTATAACCTTGACATATGTTTTGTTTTTGTTTTATCCTTACATCAATATCACATCCCAAAACTTTCTTCAACTCCTTTTCTGTTATTATTCTCTTTAAATCTTTTTCTTTATTTGTAATTTATATAATTCACCTCCCTGTGGTTCGACCCCGGTCTTGCCGGGTTATTTTACTTTGACACTCCTGCACTTAGGATAAGACATCAACTCTTTGATCGTGTCAACACCCACGGTGCACAAGTGGCACTTATGCTCCTGCCTTAGTACTTGGTAGACCAAGCACACACATGGCGCTTCGGTTACCTGCCCATGTGTTTGATCAAACCCGTACACCACGTGGTGTTGGGGTTGCTGTGCCCACAACGCACAACCAAACCACCCAACTTGGGTTCGGACCTGCTCTAAGCTCGGCAACCTAGTTGGGTGGGGACGCATCCAAGGCCAACTCTAAGTTGGACTTGAACGCATCCCTACTAACCCCATGTTGGGTCTGGATGCAACTGTGCCCAACTATATGTTGGACCTCGACACGTCAGCACTTCACCCCATGTTTAGTCTGGAGGTGCCTGCATATAACTCCATGTTGGACCTGGACACTTCCACGTCCAATCCCATATTGGGTCTAGTCACGATTACGTCCAATATCATGTTGGATCTGGACGCGTCCATGTCCAACCTCATATTGGTCCTAGACGAGACCATGACTAACTCTATGTTATTATTTTTATAATAATTAATATTATTAATAAAATAATTACTATATTAGAACAAAAATATTATTAATACTAAAAAAACCATACATTTCAATTGAAAGGTAAAATTAAAAATTACTACGTGGGGACACATGGTGCATGGGTTGCCTGCTTGAGTGCTAGGCAGACCAAACGCACATGTGGTGCTTAGGCCCCCTGCTTGAGTGATCGACAAACCAATCACACACGTGGCGTATGGCCTGCTTGCCTGTATGCTGAGTTGTCCAAGCACACACGTTGCGTGTTGGCGTGCGGTGGCCCGTGCCATCTATTATTATTTTTATTATAATTCTAATTATTCAGCTAAAAAATATTATTATTTGTGTTAAAAATATTATTATTTGTATTATAAATATTATTATTTTTATTCTAATTAAAAGTATTAAAATTAAAAATATTATTATTAATATCATTATTATTATTATTAAAAAAAAATAATATATTTGATTTGGATGGTATAATTATAAATTTTTATTAGTGTTATTATTATCATTAGGAAATTGAAAAAAAATTATTAATACCAACAAAGAGAAACCATATATTTTTTGAAGAATATTAAACATAGAATCCAAAATATCATTGGATTGTTTGGTGGTGGCATGTGATAAGGTTGTAACTTATAGGACCTAAGCGTCAGGTTGGAGGTGAGACCACCAGGGTTACGAATGCTTAACACTTGGCTGCCAAGCCTAGACTCTAAGCAGGTCACACCCTTTAGCCACACTCCAAGTCTTAACCACCTAGTGGTCAATCTATCCACCCTGTATGCTGGGCAGACTGAGCATTCATATGATGCTTGAGCTGATACTTGCATGTTAGATAAATTTTGTTGTGTGTAGTCCCACACCATGTGATGGTGGGACCACCACATTTATTGAGAAGAGAGGCAACTGACCCTCTTTAAAAATTAAATGGTTCAGGTACTATAACAACATAATTTAAAAACAGAAGAAAGGAGAAGAAAACCGAGAGAGAAAAAGAGAAGAAGAGGCAGCAGAGCAGCCTGTGTTTTTCATTCGATTTCCAGCTCGTTCACCGTTGGATCGGGCTGAGATTTTGACAGCAGTTTGTAGACACGTTACTCTTTATTCTGACGGTTGGATCGAAGATTGGTGGTGTGGAAGCTGACCGTTTTGACAGAAAACAGGACTGTCAATATTGTGAGTTTTTCTCAAATAATTCTCCTTTAATCTTGTTGTAATCCGAGAATAAGTTGTTCTTGATGATATATATGTTGTATCCCTTAGTTGAATCTGAGGAAGAATGATTGTGAACCCATTATTTGTTGATAGTGGAAGTTTTTATATGGACTACGGTCCCATGGTTTTTTCCACATCGGGTTTTCCACGTTCAAAATCTTGGTGTTGATTTTATGATTATTTGCATTAT